CCAAGGCAAGCTGCTGCAGTGTTCAGGATGCATCATGGGTAGTAACTGGTACAGAAAAACTCTTCTCTATAAAACTCAGAGTAGTGGGCTAGACAGCTAAGCTCAGGCGGAGGCCAGAAGGTTTCTACAGTTGCTGATGGACCGTGATGTCCTGTTTCTTCATCTGAGGATCATCTTAAAATTTTTGTTCAATTATTGGTTTGTGTTGTGCAGTTTCCCTAAGTTTTAGTTTGCAAGGGGAGACCATGTTAAGGAGGGAGATGTGGGGGCGGAAACAAGTAACAGTTTGAAGCTCAAGGAAGACTGGCTGAGATCCACAATTACCAGTTTGAAAAGGCTCCACCTCTTGGGAACAAGGTCAGCCCCGCCTGGGGGAGGGGACGCTAGACCTTGGACATACTCCTCTCTACACCACCAGACTGATCCCTGCGTGTTGCGGTGGGATGCGGTGGTCCCTGTTGGAGAAGCAGGGCCACCACCTTAGGTACAGGCACCGCCCCCAGGGACAAGACAGCCTCCTCTCCAGTCCTGCCTGGAGACAGCTGTCCAGGGGTCTAGGGCTGGACCCATGCCAGGGTTGTCATGGAGATCGCAGCGGGCTGCGGAGTTAAAAACAGGACCCTGCAAAGCCTGAGGCTCCCACCCACCTCACCTCTCCCACAATCCTGGTGCTTCCCAGGTGCAACAAGAGCCTCTTTTCATTTCCTGAGTGCCTCCCAAATGCGCGCGCTGAATTGCCCTCTGCTGGTCTCACTGTGGCCGGGTTTCATAGATGTGCTAATTTAAGAGAGGCCGGCAGCTCGGGGCCACCTGATCTCCGCAACTCCCCTCCCCTTATCGCTCCCTTTACACAACACCCGAGTTTTCCTCATTCCTCCCCACCTCTGTGTTTGCCACAAATATTTGGTGCTATGGGTAGACTGGTTTGGCAAATGGGCAAGACAATCCCTTGCCCTCGTGGAGTTTCTGATCTAGTGGGAGGGGAGGCCGAGCACAGGTGGTCCAGGGTCGGCCGCCGTAAGGATGATTGATACCCAGAGCTTGGCCTTGTCTCCATGCCAATCCAATAAGAAGGACAAGGTTTCGAGAAAAAGGGAAAAGAAGTCTTTGCTAGCAAAGGAGAAGCCAGGGGACTCCTGTCCCCGAGGCTGTGCTTCTGTCAGGGGAACAGAGGCTTTTAAAGAGGCAGTTCAAAGGCCACACGGCAGCTGCGCCCCGTGGGCAGTCGTGATTCATCTGCAGCCTTGCCAGCTGTTTCTTAGGTCCTCAGGGGCCCACTGCAAAGTCTGGGCTCCATTTTTGTCCTCTGTGAACCAAAGGACAGATAACTCGGCCTAGGATGGGAAAAGGTTAATCTTTCTTCCGCCATGGTTATGGAGAGAGAAAGGGGAAAGCGGGTGGGGTGTCCGTTTAACAATAAACCACAGCGACAGGCAGTGATATGTTCAAGGGCGAGGTGGGCCTGTGGCACAGTGCTGAAGATGGAAGGCAGTTTTAGCTAGGGAGGACAGGGCAGGAGGCTGGGCTCCGCGCGGAGTGCCGGGAGCAGGGGAAACTCTACCAAGTGGCACGTGCAAATGCCCTGAGCCCAGGAAGAGAAGAGAGGGTGTTGGCGGGGCCGAAGAAGCAGGAGAGCCGTCCTCTAGGAGGAGAGGGGCATGCAGAGCCTTGTGGCCGGGGGTTCGTGTGCCTGTTAGGGTCAGCGGGGGAAGGCCTGGGTTTATTCCGGAGGACGTGAGGAGCCACCTGGGCGGCTTTGGAGGCAGGGGACTGGACACCGGCGACGACGTGAAGGGGAAGAGCCAACGAGGCGGCGGTAGCCCCGGACCGGCAGCCCCGCCTGTCCCTGGGCGCGAGGCCCCGCCCCTGCCCGGGCCGCCTCCCGCGGGCCCAGCGCACCTGCGCCCGGGCCTCCTCCCCGCCCGCCCGGTCTCCCAGGCATCCGGCCTGGCCTCCACGGGTCCCGCAGGGATTTTTCCAACACACTAATCAGATCATGTGACTCTCCTTAAAACTTTTCAGTGCTTCTCAGTGCACTCGGAGCGACTCCAAGCGCAGCCTGCACCAGGAGGCCCCGCACTTCCCGGCGCAGGGCGCTGGCCTCCAAGCCGCCTTTGCTGCCCAAACCAAGCCATCAAATCCCTCGCAAGCCACAGCCCCCTTACCGTCTTCTGCTTATATTCCTGAATTCTTATTTTTTAAAGAAAGAATCCTGGCCTTTGCAATGGATGACAAAATGACATAGGTACATACCCCAGGGAATTCAGAACAGCTAGCTCTCCAACGAAAATGTTCACAGTGATGTTTACAGCAGCACTATTCCCCATGGCAAAAGATGGAAGCGGCCCAAATGTTCACCAACAGATAAATAAAATATAGTTTATTCTTGTAATGGAATATTATTCAGCCACAAAAAGGAATGATTCGCCTATTCACCTACAACATGGGTGTTTCTGGAAAACATGAGGCTAGGGGCCGCAGTTGTGGCTCAGTGGTAGAGTGCTTGCCTAGCATGCTATGAGGCACTGGGTTCAATCCCCAGCACCACATTAAAAATAAATAATAAAAATAAAGGTATTGTGTCCATCTACAACTTAAAAAAAAAAGAGGCCAAGTGGAAGCAGCTGTTGCAAAAGACCACAGGTTTTATAATGTCATTTATATTAGACACACACAGTAGGCGAATCCAGAGCCGGCAGACGGGAACCAGGCATGACTGCTTAGAGGATGGGCCTGGACAGCATGGATGGTTGCGCCATATTGTGAATATACTTGCTACTATGACCACTAAATCGTACACTTTGAAAGAGTTAAAATTGTCAGTTTTATGTTCTATGTATTTTACCAAATAAAAAAGTTAGAACACATACACACACATACACTACCAGCTTTGAAATATTAGAGATACATCTGATTGCCTCTTCCTTCTCAAATGGAACCCCCACCCCCAATTGATTATATTTCCCATAGATGTTTTTAGATTTTTACTCCTTATGTATATATTCTTTAAAATATAGTATTACTGACCAGATTTTTTTTTAAATCATGCTTCTGATCCACTATCATTTCTCCTCTTTGTGAAGTCAAAAACTTTAGTGAGACTCACTAGCTTTGAAACTAGTGTCTCATTTTCATCTTCTGTAGAGGGGGAAAATAATGTTATCTATTTCAAAAGGTAAGGAGAAATATGGGCTCATTTAAATTTTTTTTTTTAGTTGTTGATGGATCTTTATTTTCTTTATTTATATGTGGTGCTGAGACTCGAACCCAGTGCCCCCCACATGCTAGGCAAACACTCTACCACTGAGCCACAACCCCAGCCCTGGGCTCATATTTTTAAAGCACTTAGAAGAATCAGCTATTTTCATTAAACCAGGCAGAGTGGCACATGCCTGTAATCCCTGAGACTTGGGAGGCTGAGGCAGGAGGATCCTAAGTCTGAGGCCAGTCTGGGCAACTTAGCAAGTCCTTGTCTCAAAATAAATGAAAAGGACTGGGGATGTAGCTCAGTGGTAAAGTGCCCCCCTGAGTTCAATCCCCAGGGCCAAAAAATATAAATAAGCTTTATAATATTCCTTTTATTGTCAGTATCCCCACTTAATTCATTTCCCCTTTACTTTTTTTTTTTTTAAATATAGAACACATTCGAAGGTTTCAAACTCGGAAATTACAAAAGGATGAAGTGTAGTGTAGTTAAGTTTCAGTCCTGGGAACAGGACTTTGTTGCCAGATTCTTCTGTGGTCCTCCAGTTCTTCAGCGCGGCCAGAGCGCACAGAGCAGGCCAGGCTGTTCTTCACCCTGCCCGCCCGCTGCCCCCATCACTGCTTGGATACTTTCCACATCTTTACACAGTGGGCATCTTCAGTCTGTTTATGAAGGCTAGGACTCCACTGGCTAGATCAGTCATGGATTTGTCACTCACACCTCCTGGATGGGCATCTAGATTGTTTTGAGCCATTTGCAGAGATGTGCCACACTAGCAAGTAACCTGGTACAGACATAATTTTGCATGTTTCTGATCTCTCTTAAGGAGAAATTCCTGGAATTGCTGGCTTGTGCTTGTACATAGCTCATCCCAGCTAAGTATAAAAGGAACTGTTCGCCCACTCACTTGCCAACAATGTTTGGCATGAATGGAACCTACAAGAAACAGAGTCAAGCACAGGTATACACCTGCAACATGCCTTTTCTGTGCAACGTGAGGTTTCTGGGATGTGGTCATGCTGTTCCATCCTGCAGGTTTCCACCGAAGCACTCGCCTCCTAGAAGACTTCATGAACCACCCCAACTCCCAGTGTGAGCTCAGCCCAGAGCCCCTCTCTTCCTGCATTCCTATAGCATCCAACTTCCTGCATCAGAGCAGTCCCGCACCCCCACTGGCTGGTTTGTCTGCCAGTGGATGGTGATCTCCTGGGACAGGGTGCAGTGGCCTCTGTTTTGGACACTGTCCTTCCAGTACCAAGGACAGAGCTAGCCCATAGTAGGTGCTCAGTAAATACTGGCCACTTTCGATGACATGAATATATGCAAGGGCTTATCACAGAGAAGGAAACGAGGCCTGGAGAATAGATTCGCTTGCCCAGACTGCCAAAGGAAGGCTGGAGCCAGGTTCAAATCCAGCATGCCAGTACTTTCTGAAGACTGTCGCTGCATTCAACACCCTCCCCCACCTGCCCTCTGGCCCAGCACAGTGCCTGGCACAGACAGGGCTTGATAAATGAGTATTTGTTGAAAGAATGAATGAATACGTGCATCTGCTGGGGAGTGGGGGATGGCTGCATTCAGCCTCCCGGGCCCGAAGCCCCCTCCGTCTCAGCGGCCGTCTCCCCCGCACAGGTCCCAGGAGCCACAGCTGCCCTGCCTCCCGGCTCCCGGTCCCCGGTCCTCCGCTTCCGGCTTCCCAGACAGTCTTTCCTCTTCCAGGCTCCGACCAAAGGCCGAGTTTCCGGGGGGAAGGCTTAGGCGGTGACACCGAGCCCAGCCTCCTCCTCCACCCCCCACCACGCTCGGCCCCCTCCCTCCCCGCCACCACCGTCCGCGTTCGGCCGGCCGCGGGGAAGGAAGAAAGGAGCGAAGGAGGCGGAGGTAAGACCCGGCGCCCAGCAGCCAGAGCAAGCCCCAGGCCCCGGGCTGAGAAACCCGCAAGGCCGCCACCCGCCGCCCAATTCTGCAGATCATGCTTGCGGGGAGCCGCAGGCTGGGCCCTGAGCGGATCGCCCCCTCCGGGACCTAGGGCCCCTGTCGCGGCAGCCTCCGCCCCCCGGACCCGTCGACCGGTCCAGGGTCGGGCCCTCAGCCTCCTCCTCCCTGGGGATCTCCAGCATCCAGGCTCCCAGACCCCTCCTCCCCTTGCTCTGGAGCCCGACCCCCTCCCCCAACCCCCTCCTCCACCTGGATCCCGGAACTCTGTGTCCTACCTACCAGGCGGTTAGACCACCCATCCCATCCAGTCCACACCCAGAAGTCCAGACCCCAGGTCCTTCCTCCCCCAGACCCAGAAGTCCAGACCTCAGCTTCAGACCCAGGGGTCCAGACTCCAGCCCTCCTCCTTCAGACCCAGGGGTCCAGGCCCAGCCTCCTCCCTCAGACCCAGGGTCCAGACCCAGGGGTCCAGGCCCAGCCTCCTCCTTCAGACACAGGGGTCCAGGCCCAGCCTCCTCCTTCAGACCCAGGGGTCCAGATTACAGCCTCCTCCCTCAGACCCAGGGTCCAGACCCCAACCACCTCCCCCAGACCCAGGGTCCAGCCCCCAGCCTTCCTCCCTCAGATTCAGGGGTCCAGCCCCAGCCCTCTGCTCTCAGACCCAAGGTCCAGCCCCCAGCCTCCTCCCTCAGATTCAGGGGTCCAGCCCCAGCCCTCTGCCCTCAGACTGGGAGTCTGAGCTCTCCAATTCCCTGGCGTCTGCAAGCCCCTGCCTCTGGGTGCAGACACTCCATTTCCTGGGCCTCAAGACTTGAAATCCCACCCCCTCCATTTTGGCCCCTTGGGGGCTAGTTTCTGGCCTCTCCCAAAAATCCCACCGTAGGGCCCTTGAGCAAAAGCAGCTGGCTGACTCTCTGTCTCCTCTCCTGTCTCCCGTTGTCCCTTCGGTCCCTGCCTCGACCCTCCCACTGGCCTGGTCTGCTTGCACTTTCTGCCCCTGGGTCTCTAAACCTCTCCCTTTCCCTCTCCTGGATGCTCTCTCCATTTGTGCTTCTTTGCTCCTCTTGTTTCTGATTTTCCTGACTCTGTCCCATCTCTGCTTCTGATCTGGGTCTGTCTGCCCGTCGCTCACCTCTGCCCACCTTCCTGCCTTCCTCCTCCGTCCCTCCCCTCTCCCTGGGTGAGCGCTGACCCGCTGTCCCGCCTTTGCCTGTCTCTGTGGCTGCCCCTCTCTGCCACACCCCACAGACCTCCCTTCACCTCTGCCCGCCTCTCCCCTTTTTCCCCACAGACATGGATCCGCAGCCCCCTCCACCTGCCCAGGGCAGCCCACCACACCGGGGCCGGGGCCGGGGCCGTGGCCGGGGCCGGGGCCGGGGTCGTGGACGTGGCAGGGGAGGCGCTGGAGCCCCTCGGGCGCCCCTGCCCTGCCCCACATGTGGCCGCCTCTTCCGCTTCCCTTACTACCTCTCCCGGCACCGGCTGAGCCACTCAGGCCTCCGTCCCCACGCCTGTCCCCTGTGCCCGAAGGCCTTCCGCAGGCCTGCCCATCTCTCCCGCCACCTGCGAGGCCACGGGCCCCAGCCCCCGCTGCGCTGCGCCGCCTGCCCTCGCACCTTCCCGGAGCCCGCCCAGCTCAGGCGCCACCTGGCCCAGGAGCACGCGGGCGGCGAGGTTGAGCTGGCCATCGAGAGGGCAGCCAAGGAGGCGGCCGAGTCCAGCTGGAGCCCTCAGGAGGAGGGCGCAGAGCAGCCAGCCACTGCAGTGGCCGCGGCCGCGGAGGAGGAGACAGCGTGGCCGGAGTCGTGGCCTGCCGGGGATCCAGCCCCACTGGCCGCCCCCGAGAGCGTCGAGCCCCGGGAGGCGGAGGCGGAGGAGGCCGAGGCTGGGGCAGCCGAGCTGAGAGCCGAGCTGGCGCTGGCGGCCGGGCGGCAGGAGGAGAAGCAGGTCCTGCTCCAGGCCGACTGGACGCTGCTATGCCTCCGCTGCCGCGAAGCCTTTGCCACCAAGGGCGAGCTCAAAGCGCACCCGTGTCTGCGCCCCGAGGGCGAACAGGAGGGTGAAGGGGGGCCCCCGCCACGCCCCAAGCGACACCAGTGCTCCATCTGCCTCAAGGCCTTCGCCAGGCCCTGGTCCCTGTCGCGCCACCGGCTGGTCCACTCCACGGACCGCCCTTTTGTGTGCCCAGACTGCGGCCTAGCCTTCCGCCTCGCCTCCTACCTCCGCCAGCACCGCCGCGTCCACGGAGCGCTCAGCCTGCTGGCCCCGCTGCCCGGGGCGGGCAAGAAGGACGACAAGGCCTCAGGTGGACGGAACTCGGGGAAAGGGCCTGAGGGGGGCGAAGGGGCCGAGTGCGGGGGTGCCCCCGAAGGGGGAGAAGGCGGGCACAACGGAGGAGACACCGCCCCAGCCCGGCCCCCAGCGGGGGAGCCCCGCTTCTGGTGTCCCGAGTGCGGCAAAGGTTTCCGACGCCGGGCACACCTGCGGCAGCACGGTGTGACCCACTCGGGGGCGCGCCCCTTCCAGTGCGTGCGTTGCCAGCGGGAGTTCAAGCGGCTGGCGGACCTGGCCCGCCACGCGCAGGTCCACGCTGGCGGCCCGGCCCCGCACCCGTGCCCCCGCTGCCCACGGCGCTTCTCGCGAGCCTACAGCCTCCTTCGCCACCAGCGCTGCCACCGCGCAGAGCTGGAGAGGGCGGCAGCGCTGCAGGCGCTCCAGGCCCAGGCCGCGCCTTCGCCCCAGCCACCTGAGCAGGATGCGGAAGGGCTCCCTCTGCCCCTCTCACACATCAAGGAAGAGCCACCCTCCCCCGGGACCCCACCCCGGTCCCCTCCCGCTCCCCCCGTCTTCCTCAGCGCCTCCTGTTTCGACAGCCAAGACCACTCGGCCTTTGAGATGGAGGAAGAAGAGGTAGACAGCAAAGCGCATCTGCGCGGCCTGGGGGGCCTGGCCTCCTGACCCTCGTACCCACCCTCCGCCCCTCCGTTCGAGCTCTGGGTTCGCAGTATGGAGGAGGGAAGTTGAAGGAGAGGCACCTCCTGTCTACCCTGCCCCAAGCCCTTGACACTAAGGAGAGGAGGCCCTGGGCCACCCACCGTCCCCATTGCCCATCCCTAGACCCCTGATGCCGGTTAGGAACCGATCGCCCCGACCCATGTCTTAAGGCAGAACCACTTGGAAAAGGAGGCGGAGGACATTTGGCCAGAGGGACTCAGACTGGTGGGTTTGCCCCAGCCTGCCTGTTCCCTGTGACATACACTGGACACCATCACCTCTTTGGAACTGCCAGACCCTGGGGGTTTCCAGTGATCAAAGGTCTGTCCCTGTTCCTCTGTCTGTGAATAAATGTGAGTTCGTGAAACCCAGGAGTGAGGCTGTGTGTGCAGGTGGGGGTGGGGTGTGCTTGGGTTCTGAGCAGGAGAGACCCTGTGCCCAAGCACCTTGGCCTGAGAAGAAGCAGGGGTGCAGCACCATGGACCACCAGTATGGTAGCCCTGTGGGTCCTTGCACTCCTCTTGCAGCCAAGCTTGCCCTACATTTCCTCTGCGCCAGACCCGTGCTGAGCCCGGCAGGAACTGAGGAGGAAGGAGCTAAGTCCCCTTCTTTGAAGAGCTGGAGTCCCAGGGCTGCTCTGCCCACTAGACTTTTTTGTGGTGCTGGAATGTTCTAGACCTTTGCTGTCCAATAGGGTGTCTAGTAATGGGTACTATTTTAGTTAAATTTAGAATAAGTAAGTTTAATTCAAATGAAATATAATTAAAAGTTCAGTTCCTCACCAAATATAGCTGGTGGCTTCCATATTGTACAGCACAGATCTAGAATATCCCATCATTGTGAAGAGTTGTAGCGGACAGCACTGCTCTAGGTAATCCGTATGCATCATGGTGTTGGTATTGATGAGGTCCGCTGAAGGTCACTGTGGAGGGCACTGGAAGGTGGGGCCTCTCTGGGGAGGTGGTGGTTGGCCTGAATTAAGATGGAAGGAACCAGATGTGAGAAGGCACTGTCTGGAAGGAGCCGGGCGCGGAGGGACAGCCAGGGCCAGGCTGTGAGGTGGGCAGGTTTGACATGTTGAAGAAAATACTCTCAGGGGTGGGCGGGATGTTTAGAGTTGACTCAGGTGTTAGACCCTGGAGTGGAGGGGAGGGTACCTGCCAGTCAGCCTTCTGCTGGCATCCTGCCCCTCCCCCTTCCAAGGCTGTCTCGAGCCCTGGGCAAATGATAGCAGCATCACTACTTTAGGTGTCTTCCTACCTGCAAGAAAAGGCCAGACTGTCCCCACTGTCCAGGGGGACTAACTGAGGTTCTGCAGGGAAGCTGGTTTCCCTGGTGAGCCCTAGGACAGCTGGCCTGTCGCCCATCTTGGCTAAGCCTCAGAGCAGGGTCTGTTGATCACCACTGTGTTGGAGCCAGTGGTTGGCATTAGCATTCAGTGTTGGGTGAGACCACCTGGGTGCCTGTCTCTGTGGGCCTGACAGTTCAGCTCAGGACAGTGGTGATAATCAGGCACAAATAAATTAGGGTAATCAAACGAGGCTGGTTCCCTAGAGAACCAGGTCCTCGAGAGTTGTCTCTACCCCTCAGTGCTGGAGAAATGGAGGGATTTGTTACATCAAATCCACTCCCTCCTTGGAACCTCCTGGGCTCCCAGTCACCATATGTCAATGCAGGCCACTGTTTAGTGACTGCCTTCTGAGGCTAGCCCCGTGGTCAGCACAAAGTCAGGGGAAGAGATCATAGGTCACTTTCAGAAGGGACAAGTTGAGGCTTGAGGCAAATGTCATCTGTGCTGCTTCAGTCATGCCGACGGCAAGGGACCCTTGTATTAAATGGGCTACTTGGTGGAAAGGGCTGGACACGATGCCCGGCACGTGCAGGAAGAGCTGCTGGCTAACTCGTGACCTTCCAGGTGGATGTGAACCATGGGGGCCCCAGGACATTTGCGACCTCCCCACTTGCCAGAGATGGTGACCGCCCGGGAAGGCCCTTGCCCAGACCTCACAGCTGTGAGGATTCAAACCCAGGTCCACGAAACCCTCCGCATCGGCTCCCACACAACCCCACTCAGGCCCCATTTCGTCCCTTCCTGGCCCTGAGGGCCCACTCCTGCTCTCTGGTGGGCCCACCTTCCCCTCAAACACTGCCCCCAGAGAGGAACACGCCCAGAGCAAACCACGTAGCTCGGGGAGAAAAGGACCAAGAAGGAGCCCAGCTCCCCCATGCAGGTGGGAACCTGGACCCAGAACCCTGGGACAGACCAGCAAGTGGCAAAGCCACGGCCGAGCACACAGAGGTCCCAGCAGTGGCGCTTGGGCCCTTCGGAGCCTGTGCTCTGAGCCCTGTCACCCAGCATGTTCACTCGGGACCTCGGCACGTTGGCTGGTGAAGTCTGGACACGCGTCTTGTGGGCCGCAGAAGTGGGCTCACTTACCCCTCACGACGGCCGGGGGACAGGGCGCCGGCGGAGGGCTCTGTCCTTTCATTCATGTCTCTGCTTTGTCTCTTGAACAGCTTAATGCAATGTCACTTCCAGGCCTCAGAATTCACCCACTTCACGTTTCACTCACTGATTTTTAATAAATTTAACCAGTGCCACAATCCAGTTTTAGAGCATATTGACACCCCCCAAACAGCTCTCCGCCCATGGAAGTCCCTCTCGCCCCACCTCTACCCAGCAGCCCCGACCCACTGTCCCTCAACTTTGCCTACTCTGGACATCCGAGACAGTGGATTTGTAGATGGTGGCTTGGCGCCTGCTCTTTGACCCAGCACAACGCCTCCAAGGTCCTTCCAGGGTGTGAATTTCAGACCTTCATCCCTTCCTCCGGCTCAGTCATGTTCTGTGTGCCGACAGACCATGCCGTTGACCCTCCTCGGCCAGCGGGTGTGGGGCTGTTTCTGCTCCTGGGCTGCGGAGGAGCACTGCTCTAAACATGTGCGGACACGTCTGTGTGTGGACGCTTACTTTCATTTCTGTTGGGCAGAATCACGAGGCTGAATGAGAAGTCCGCAGTTTACCTTTCGAGAAAGTGCCAGATTGCTCTCCAAAGTGACTGTACTATCTACAGCCTCCCTGGTGATCGTGGGGGTTTCCCACAGGGACCATTTCCTGGGAACAGAGACGCGAACTGGCTTAGCCAAGGCAGGAAGCAACAAGGCCAGTGGGACCCTGGGCGCTGCAGCTCCAGACCCTTACACAAGGATTCATCCCCATCCTGCCCACTCATCACTCTCCCAAAGTCTTTATTGAGCCCCTACTGTGTGCTGGGCACCAGCCTAGGTGCTGCTTGTGCTTCAGTTAATGAAACACAAATACCTCCTTCTCTGGGGCTTCCATTCTAGGGGGAGGAGAGGGTCAGTGGTGGGCAGTGGCCACACCTGTGATCTCTGCAAATCCGGAGGCTGAGGCAAGAGAATCACAAATTCAAGGCCAGCCTCAGCATCTTAGCCAGGCTCTGTCTCAAAAAAAAAAAAAAAAGTGGCTGGAAATGTGGCTCAGTAGTGGAGGGGCACAGGAATCACAGGCCGTGGAAGCAGGAGCCGGAGGACAGAGCCATGGGAAATGAGGATGTGTCCCCAGGGAGTGCATAGCTGGGGCAAACTTCTGAGGAAGAGTCAGACTGGCTGCTCACGGGGCACAGAGGCCAGTGTGAAGGGTCGGAGAAGGAGAGTGTGAGGAGGGGGGCAGGGGCCGCAGGGGCAGCAGATCAGGTAGGGGCTCAGAAGGACCGTCTTCCACTCAAAGTGAGGTGAGGAACATCAGAGAGGTTCACCCAGACGCTGGAAGGATTTGACTTTCTTTTTTATTTTTGTCATGTCATTGTGAGACCATAAAAATTGAAATAGAAAACAATCATATACTAACCCCCAGAGTCTACAATTAGCATTTTATTATATTTTCTATTTAATGAATCTGTCTATGCATCCATTCACCTATCCATCATGCATTCATCTATCCATCATCCATCCACTCATCCATCTATCATCCATCCATCATCCATCCATCATTCATCTTTCCATCATCCATCCATCCATCATTCATCCATCACTTATCCATCCATCCATCCATCATCCCTCCATCATCCATCATCCATCCTTCCATCTACCATCATCCATCCATCCATCCATCATCCATTCATCCATCTACCCACCATGCATCTATATCCATCTATCATCCACCTTTCCATGTATCCATCATCCATCCATCCATCATCTATCAATCCATCCATCCATCATCCATCCATCCATCCATTCATCATCCATCCTTCCATCTACCATCATCCATCCATCCATCCATCATCAATTAATCTATCTACCCATCATGCATCTATCATCCATCCATCATCCATCCTTTCATCTACCCATGCATCAATTCTTCATCCACCCATCTATTCATCCATCCATCATATTTTTTTACTCAGTAAACTTTATTTTTCAGAGAAGTGTTAGGTTCACACCAAAACTGAACAGAAGTGACAGGATTCTCATGCATCCTTAAAAATTTATTTTTCTTTTGTTGTAGATGGACACAATACCTTTATTTCATTTTTAAGTTTTTTAATGCAGTGCTGAAGATCAAACCCAGTGCCTCATGTGTGCTAGGCAAGCACTAAGCCCCAAACCCCACCTCCATATACATCCCTTTAAAAAGAAATCATTTCAAAGCAGTTTGCAAGTATCAATTCACTCCAAACATTTGAACATGCATATAATAACAAGATATCGGATACTTGAGCTTCTTGTCCTCAGCACATTTTAAATACAGCCAGTCATGGTGGTGCACAGCTGGAACCCCAGTGACTTGGGAGGCTGAGGCAGGAGAATTGCAAGTTCAAGGACAGCCTGGGCAACTTAGTGAGACCCTGTCTCAAAGTAAAAAAAATAAAAAGGGCTGGGGATGCAGCTCAATGGTAAAACATCGCTGGCTTCAATCCCTAGTACCACAAAAATAAATACAGAAAAATTACATTTAATGAATTTTTATGAATGCAATTTATAGCACAAATTCCTCTCCTGACTTAATAGATTCTGCCTTCTGCTTGAATGATGGTTGTGAGCTGGACAGAGGTACTCATAAGCCTGGTTTTCCTTTTTAATAACCTTTTTTAAAAAAATCTTAGAAACTTTGAGATTTATAGAGAATTTGCAGTGATTCTAGATTCCCTTTGACCCCTCAACCAAATATCATCATCTGCCATTACCGGCCCTAGTATATCTGTCAAGATCAAGAACCTGGGGCTAGGGTTGTGGCTCAATGGGAGAGCACCTGCCTGGCACGTGTGAGGCACTGGGTGCGATCCTCAGCACCACATAAAAATGAATAAATAAGATAAAGGTATGTGTCCATCGACAACTAAAAAT